TAATTTGTTTTTTAATCTTTTTTCTATATTTCAGAAATAAGATACATTATTGTATTTTTACTGGAAATAAAATAAAAAAATATGTTTTATTTCTTGGTCTTACGTGTCCAGCTTCTTCTATTTGAAAATGCTTCTATTTTATTGAAAAATGAATGGAAATTTCCTAAATAATCAAACATTATAATTAAATAACACATCTTTAGATATTTATAAGATTATAAGAAAAATATTCTACAATGTTGTCTAGTTCTTTTTCTCTGATGTATCTTGTAATCTTTTTTCCTTTTTTTTTTTTTGTAAAATATTGCAGACAATACAATTATTATATTCTATATATTTTAAAATTATTAATTATAATATTTGCGATATAAAGAATTTAATATTAATTTTTTAATAAAATGGAAACATTTTTAAATAGAAAAAGATGACACGTTTGGTGAAATAAAAACAGACCACGCACCTTCTTTCTTTATTTCGACCGTCGGTTCGTCACCTACCTACGTGTTTATTTCTGTTTTTTCTTTTACCCTTCTATCGCTCCTATTTACAAACAGGTATAGGATCGAAACAATATGTGTCTACGTTTCGTAGTATGCAGTCGCACACAAACACACACATATACAACCAGGAGCGATAACTACGAAGCATAGCATAAACAGGAGACCGAGAATAGGAAAAACTGTATAGCTATACTCTGTCTCATTCTCTCGCAGACTCAATCCTATATGTTTGTCTCTTTTTCTCTTCTTACATCCGATTCGGCCCGTTTTCGTTATGCTGTTCCGTTACATTTTTTTTTAAATCATCCCTATTCTAAAAAAGTTGTCACTTCAACAAGCAACGACGTGTATACACGTCGAACGCATTTAACTGTTTAATTATTAATGGTAATTATTAATTACCATTAACTATAGTTATTCTTGTTTTGTATCAATTTATAATACATTAATTTCTACCAATATATACATATGTATATATTGCAATTAATTAGCCTGTGTCAACCTCTTTCCGCTAACAGAGAGTATATTCCCTTTCCATATATTTCATTTTGAACCATAAGAACTAAATATTCCTAATTTCTCATGGTAACACTATAAAATTTAGTACTGAAATTTGCTGTAAAAGAACTGTAGAAAAGTAAAGATGGTCTACAGTTGAACGGGACAACACAATTGTTGATATACACGGACGATATTGCTTTGTTAGGGGACAATGAAGAGTCATTAAACAAATTCATTGATACACTTTAGTTTATCACATTAATCATTGAAAAATAATTAACATCAATTATCATTCTAATGTCGGAAATCACTGATGAATTTTTGGGTAGATATTATTAAGCCCTTAAGCAGCACGCTCGAGTTAACTCCAGCAGCGTATTAATTTATATTTCTATGANTAATAATAATAATAATAATAATAATAATAATAATAATAATAATAATAATAATAATAATAATAATAATAATAATAATAATAATAATAATAAAGATTAATAAAAAGTATACATAAAGAATTAAAAATGCAAATAACAAAATACATATACAGGGTGATTCTTGTAACGGGAACAGGAAATAGTTCTTTTTAAGTAACATTAGAGAAAATTAATAAAAGGAAAAAGATATATGGCACAACCAATGTCAACTTTCTATGACCTTACTTTTTTTGAAAATGCATCGATGCACCCCCGTAGGTAGCTAAAAAAAAAACTAACATCTTCAAAACTCTATCCATCAAGAAAGAATGTCGAATTCAATAGCCATAGATAGTAAAAAAAATTGTAGAATATTTGTCAACAGAAATATACGCCGTCCTAACCTGAGTAAATACAGTATATTTTTTTGTTTGAAACTCAGGTAGATGAAGTTTTTCTGTCACTCTTTTCACCTTTCCTTTGAATTTGAGATATCTTTTTCATGGGTTAGCATACACAAATATTTCTTTTTGTGTTGCGACTAATACTTGTAGATGCTGTAAAAAGAAGAGAACAATTGTTGTCATATTTTTTTCGTTTAATTCAGTTCTGAAATACAACGAATTTAAAATCTATTATTCATTAGTTTTCATTGTTTTATTTTTTATAATTCATTTAATTAAAAGAAATAAATTGTTTTTGATTAATTTTATTTTTACTTTGTTTTTAATTTTAATTGTTTTTTCTATATTTCAGAAATAAGATACATTATTGTATTTTTACTTGAAATAAAATAAAAATATATGGTTTATTTCTTGGTCTTACGTGTCCAGTTTCTTCTATTTAAAAATGCTTCTATTTTATTGAAAAATGAATTTAAATTTCCTAAATACTCAAACATTATAATAAAAAAACACATCTTTAGATATTTATAAGAATATCAGAAAAATATTCTACAGTGTTGTCTAATTCTTTTTCTTTGATGTATCTTGTAATCATTTTTCCTTTTTTTTTTTGTAAAATATTGCAGGCAATACAATTATTATATACTATATACTTTATAATTATTAATAAGAATAATATTTACGAAAAAATAATTTAATATTAATTTTTCAATAAAATAGAAACATTTTTAAAAAGAAAAAGATGACACGTTTGGTAAAAAAAAAACAGACCACGCATCTTCTTTCTTTATTTCGACCGTCGGTTCGTCACCTACCTACGTGTTTATTTCTGTTTATTCTTTTACCCTTCTATCGCTCCTATTTACTAACAGGTATAGAATCGAAATAATATGTGTCTACGTTTCGTAGTATGCAGTCGCACACAAACACACACATAACAACCAGGAGCGATAACTACGAAGCATAGCATAAAGAGGAGACCGAAAATAGGAAAAACTATATAGCTATACTCTGTCTCACTCTCTCACAGGCTAATCCTATATGTTCGTCTCTTTTTTCCTCTTCTTATTTACTATTGTGGCCGTTTCTTTGCTCGGTTTCACAGCTCCGTAACATCACAGCCGTTTCATTTTTTTTCAGATCAACCCTATTCTAAAGAATTCTTCACTTCAAAAAGAATATTTTTTTTTTTGGGGACAAGAAAAGCTTACTAATATAAATGAGTTGTCTTCTAAATTTAATATTTTCTACAGGAAAATGAAATAACTCAAGTGAAAGTTATCCACGTGCACAAGACTAAAAATTCTAGTTTGAACGGTTGGTTTTTTATGGCTACTGTCTTACGTTAGTTGAACTGTAATAGAGATGCTAGATAGAATTTATTTACGTGTAAGAGAGACGACACTAATTACATATGACATTGATTATTTTCGGTCTTTTATTTGTGTTTATTTACTTATGAATCTTGGAATGTTTTACTAGAACCTTACTTGTTCTTCAGGTACGCACTCTACTTCTTTTTAAGTGATAAGGGGTCGGGGAGAGAAGATACTAAAAACTCGAATTAACTCGAGCGTGCTGCTTAAGGGGTTAATAACGCGAAAATATTAATAGATAATACTAAAGATGTGGGACTGCAAATAAGCGCGGATAAAACCAAATATATGATAACCGATAGAGTTCAAAATAGGCCTAGTAGTGAGACTTTGGTCGTCCGGGATAAAATTTTCGTACGGCTCAGCAACTTTAGGTATATATATATTTAAGATCGATCATAAACCAGAAGAACGAAATTAACGAAGAACTTAGGAAAAGAATCAATCTAAGCAATTCATGTTTTTATTCGGTAACCAGATTTCTCAGCTCGCGGTTGTTGTCTAGGCGATTAAAAATCAGGATATACAGGACAGTCATCCTGCCGGTAGTCCTTTATGGTTGCGAATCGTGGTCGCTTACGTTACGGGACGAAAAGAAATCTAGGGTTTTCGAAAACAAAGTTCTTCGTAAAATCTTCGGTGCAAAACGCGATGAGGAAACGGGCAAATGGAGAAAACTCCATAACGTTGAAGTACATCGATTGTACAACAAACCGAACATTATCAACGTCGTAAAATCACGCCGATTAAGGTGGGCTGGTCATGTGGTGCGGTGCATGGGGGAGGATCGAACGGTGCCCAAAATATTGGTCGGTATATCAAACGGGAAAAGACCATTAGTTAGACCGAGACGTTGATGGGAGGATAATATTAGAAGGAATTTAAAAGAAATAGGATACGAAGACCGTGAATGGAAGGATCGCGCTCAGGGATGGGAACAATGGCAGGATTTTATATTTGTGGCAATGAACTTCTTAGTTCCTAATGCCAATTTATAATAATAATAATAACATTATAAAATGTATTTCTTATTTAATATAAAATTTGTTTATATAAATTATAAAACACAATTAAATATATGCGTACGTACATATTATACATTACAAAAAAATATTATAAAATAATAGATTTACAAGATTGTGTATCTATATGAAAATTTATTACGAGATCCGGCTGCAAGATGAGTGCACTCATCGAGTTTTTGCTAAAAACCTAATTTTTCGTATATTTATGATTAAGAGAATATATATCTGCCAGGTTGCCTATCAAAATGAGGCTGTTAGTATTTTTAATTAAATTATTGTTAATTAATTTTTCGGAAAAAAATTCATTCACTTGTTTTTTAAATAAAATATCATCCACTTCACGGCAATATGTGTAAAGACTTTGAAAAATCACGGTTGCTGTTGCGCACTTGGCAGCACCTCTTCGCAGCTAGGTGTAAACAGGTATGATTTTGATATATTTATACGTTCATAACGTACATTTATTATTTATATATTAAATTAAAGCTAATTTTTTTTTGTTTATTATGATATACGGTTGTTTAATTAAATATGACCGCAAATAAGGGTTCCTGGCTGTTAAAGATGGTAAATATTAAAGGTAGAGTGAGAGAGAGTTAACACGCAATATCACTTGTCAGACGAGGATAGTGATTGCCAGCTGTACGACACTTAAAAGCCACTGCGCATGCGTCGAACGCTAATGTTCTTAACCACTGGTGCAAACAGCGTGGTCTAAAACAGCGTGGTTAGAATAATAATATCGCAGCTATTCAGTTGAGATTGTATATATTTAATTGTGTTTTATAATTTAAACAAATTTTAAATTAAATAAAAAATACATTTTACAATGTTACCATGCGAGGTTAGGAACATTTAGTTCTTATGGTTAACCTCCCTGATCAATTTTTTCCTTTGAACCAAATTGTTATTTGTGATTGTAATTCAAACAAAAACAAATAAATGACATTATTCAATCTAAGAATCTAATATGGATATAATAATATTTGCATTTATAGAATAATATTTAATATTCTTACTTAAGAAAAGTAATATAAGAAAAAATAATGTCACTATGATTCTCCCAACATATAAACTGTCTTTATTCCGGATGCAACGAAATTATTTCTAACTTCCTGTAAAGAAGCAGACAGGCATATTGCAGATATTGTTTAGTTTACAATAGAATCTTATTTTTACACAGTGTTCAATAAACTTGACTTATTGATAAGCAATATTTAATAATAATTTGTTAATTGAATTGGTTTTTTATAAATAAAATGAAGTTTAATCCATATACAGGTGTAACCTGGTCTTTATTAGAATTAGAAGGTCTTTTAGAAGATGAAAATTCACAAGTACATTATGAACGTATGAAAAAGCATCTTGCATTACATCCATTTCATTTGAATGATCTTAGCAAAGCATTACATGAAATACTGAGTTCTGGCTTGAACACATATGATAACGAGTATGTATATCGAACAATATAATTAAAATCAATTCTAACAAATATATTTATAATATAATTTTTTATAGGTTAAAAGGTTTTCTTTTGGCTTATAAGAATCCTAAATTACTGACTACACTTGGAGGTGTATTTTATGACTCATATTTTATTCATATCGATATTGAAGCAGACTTTTATGTATTTAGACCACAAGTTGGTAATTTATTAAAAGGTAATGTATATTATCTAATCACAAGGATAGTAAATAAGAAGTATGCGTATATATGTAAAACTAATCTCAATGTTCAATCAAATTTCATAGAAGAGTATGTGTTTATTCGATACAAACATAAATAAGATGTTAATAAAACTGAATGAAATTATTGATATTTATTACATATACTTATTATATGTAATTAATATTAATAATGTATAATATGTATATATTTATATATGCTATATATAAAAATTGACACACAGGAATAAGATCATAACATATTTCACCATATTTTTGACATGTCAATCAAATCATATTTACTATCCCTGATCTAATGTATTTTTTATTTTTAAGGTTATATTAAGATATTTTTTTTCTATCATAACCTCTAATTTATGTTTAGGTATTGTTCATAAAAAGGGAGCTAATTACATTGGTGTGCTTATGCACAAAACTTTTAATGTATCCATTTTTAGACCAGAAAATGGTGAAAAATGGCCAGGTGATGTGGTGAATATTGGTCAAGAGGTTAAATTTGAAGTTACATATTTGGATATTAATAGTAGATTACCATTCATTCGAGGAACATTCAATCAAACGTAAGTTAATTATTAATTTATTCTTTTTTTTTTTTTTAAAAGCATTATGTTTAACACTAATCATACCAAGACTTAATATATACCTATTTCTACCATAGCGGGTCAAATGACCCGACTTTATGTTTCATGCTTGAATGTATGAAATATGGATGTTAGGAAGGAAATAAAAATATAAATTAAATTTATTATAATTAAACAAAATAGTANGCATTGAAACGCAAAAACTTCAATATCTCGATTCAAACATAAATGGAGGAAGGCAACTTTCAAACTAAATGGTTCATTTACATAAATTCTTTTTCAAAAGCAACACATGTTTCACCTTCAAATTTAAGGGGCATTTAATCCCTTTAATCTTGCATCCCTTAGTGTGTYCGCTTAAAATGCATATTATTTTTCCAAATTAAAAAAAAAACTACTGCATGGTACATTTTTATTTTTTAAGAAGATGTACGTGAGATATGAAGAAGATAATATTTATTTWAWARAAATAATATCCCTTGGGGGACAGGGGTTTCTTAAAATTACAACCTTAACGAACCCCTGATGTYCCTTTAAAAGACAATYTYAATTCTTTCYATACCTAGRAAAATAAACAACCTTGAAAARCTTTCTCTTTTTTTCTAGAGGTAATAAAATAAAAAGAAAAATCAGATCTTAAGAAGGATGTCTAAAAAATGAGAATTCCAATAAAKTCTTTTTCCAAGGGATCATATGGAGTTCCTATYCAAMTTGAACAAAGCTTTTTTTATTAATCTTCTTTCTTTAAATTCTTACACGTTCTCAAAACAAATGTTAAAAAAGGAAACAATAGATTTCAATAAAACTGTCGTAGTGATTGATCCTAGTAAAGAAATGAAAATAATAAATGATAAGATCTACTGAGGAGAATCATTGAACTTGGGAACAATCTGAATGAATTGTCTCTTTCAGAAAACCTAAGTTTTTTACCTGCGAAAGGGATAATACAAAGACATACCTGAAGTAATAAAATTTTTTTTCTAAATTTCACGAAAAATTATAGAAGAAATCCGGAGTACAAATTTCTCTTTGTTTTTTTACTACGATTGACCAGTTCTTTCTTTTTCTGTAACCATTTTTTGCTTTTTATTTTATACTTGCTTTGAAGATAATCTACAAAAATCCTACATAAAAAAAAAAGAGTAAAAGAAAACGTTTTACTTCAAATAAACTATTTTTTATCTTTAATCCAACGAAAACCTACCAAACTTTCCATACAGTTTTAAACTTTTCACTTAAAACTGTATAAAAAAAAGATAGTATTTAATTAATAATATATTGGAAAATTAGTCTTATTTCACATGAATTTATTCAAATATATTTTATAATCCCACAATGTTAATCATTGTATTTTTAATCAAAATTAATTTACATAGATCTATTATTCACCGATTAAAAATAATCTTTCACTAGTTACATTTTTTTTCTTATTTTTACATATATATGTAGCCTTCCTGCATCACGGTATCTATAACACAGTTTCGCCATAATACAATTTCATAAATTGCTGAAAAATCTTCTGCAACACGGTTTCCTTTCAAAAAACCTTTGTACAACACTGTACTTCTACAGCCGTAGCAAGGCTTGCTGTTTTAAAACTGCAGTGTTACGGAAAGTATTTCTTTTCATCTCCATGACCTAAAAACAAAAGTCTCGTACAACCCGGTTTCACACAACACGGCATCTTCTACAAACCTATCTACCGTATTATAGGAGGGTTACCTATAATAATAAAGTTTCTCTAAGCACCTTTTTAAAACTGCTGTTCTAATCGAATTAAAATTACGTGTGTCGGAAAGTAGATTAAAATCCATTAAAATGTGTATACTATTTGTTGTCAATATCTCTTTATAAGAGATATTTTTATCAGAAGTACAGATAGTCATCTTACAACACGACATCCTATAACACGGTTCGCTAAAACACGATTTCATAAATTGTTAATATATATTTTTATTTTTTAAGGAGATGTAAGCGAAATATCAAGAAAATAAGATTTATTTAAAAGAATAGAAGGAGGAAAGAAAAGTGGAGTTCGTTGAAAATAATAATAATAGTCTTCTTCCAAATAGGTACAATTGCCTGTTCCTCCTCATCGCGACTTGCCAGGCGAGTCATCGGATTCTGTGAGCCTGTTCTAGGTTTTTACGTCGAGCAGGGGACTAATCTAAATAATAATAATAATAATAATAATAATAATAATAATAATAATAATAATAATAATAATAATAATAATAATAATAATAATAATAATAATAATAA